GTCAAATTTAATGTATCTGTAGCAAAACTGATTTGTAATAACCTAGAGGCATGACAACAACAACTAAGAACGTTAAATAATTTATTTGTGCTCGTACAAATATTGCGATGAAGAAAAATTTTGCGATGCACCACAAAGATTGAATCTTTGATGAGAAATGCATGAATAACCAGAATTTCTTAAATGATTGATGAATATCAAGAAGCTCATGACCCCACTTAGGGCCCGTTTAGCAAGGCTTTTGCTTCTTTTAAAAGAGTTTTCTAGATGAATTTACATTATGTCGACGTCCTCTCTAAATGCTCTTCCAGTCAACAAAACAATTTCAAAGATAATCCAAAAATATTCAAAAACAGTTTCGTGCAGCTTAAATAACTTGTGACCCACATGAAAAGATTCAATTTTTAACCATTAAAGCGATAGTGAAAAAACTGATTAATGCCTAGAGCTCACAAAGAATGTAAACTGGTTTGCTTGAGAAATAGAGAGGAGATGGAAACAGATGGAGCAGTTACAGAGGCTATTTTTATGGAATCAAAGAGAAAAATGGATCTGAAAATTGGGAGTGAGATTGAACAAGGAAGAGGAGCGTGACGTGTTTGAATATTCATGGACTCGTGAGGTTTTATGATAGTTTTTTGTGTGCTGGCTCCTAGTGCTTATTTTGTCGGTATCGAAAATTGGGGTGTTTTTGCAATTCTTGATTGGCTTAGCCTTTTTTTGGAAAATTTATAAATGATTTAAAGTATAGTAGTAGTCCCATGATATGCGTGAATAATAATAAGAGAATAAGTTATGAATATAAGGTATAAATTAATATTTGATTTTTATTGAATTTAAGTTGGTCAAACTTTAATTTTAATTACACATTTTGTTTGCCCCACAACAACGACACATATTATCTACATATTTTGTAAGACTCATAAAATCTTCACCATTTCTTTTTATCTACTTATAAGTTAACTAAATCCAAACATGCACTTTGTATAAGTCGTGAGAGTTGGGATAAATACGAAGTAGATGTGGAGCTTTATAATGTCGATTACGTTCATCTTGACAGTTGTTGAAATTTACAATCTTACCTTGAAGCTTTGGAATTAAAA